GAAAACCTATAAAATAATTGGATTACTCTGCAAAAGGGAAATACAGATGGAGTCAGTTTTATATATTATTGTTATTGTCATTTGATTTTTCTTTAAGATAATAAAGATGAGATATTGTTTACACGATTAGAACTAATAAAAGGTTCAGCCAGCTGGCTAGATACGTAATAGCCAAGAGCTATCCATTAGAAATAACTACATAGAAAATAAAATGGAACTCATCAAACACATGGCCTTTTTGGGGGAAGCGATACACCTCTGCCAAGGACTGGCCAGAGATTCCCCAGGAGAGGACTCCTTGCAGCTGTTTGCTGCTGTGACCAAGGGGAGAGGCACCTGATACAGAATGAAGACGTTATATATTTTGGTCATGGCACTGAAAGGCCCTTGACCAATTGGGTACTCAAGTTTTTCTGAGAATTAAGACATGATTTAATGATTAAGAAAAAAAAAAATCCGAAACCAGTTAGGCTCAGTGGATAGAGTATTGGTCTGCGGACTGAAAGGTCCCAGGTTCGATTCTGGTCAAGGGCATGTACCTTGGTTTCGGGCACATCCCCAGAAGGGGGTGTATAGGAGACAACTGATCAATGTTTCTCTCTCATTGATGTTTCTAACTCTCTATCTTTCTATCTTCCTCTCTGTAAAAAAATCAATAATATATATATTTAAATATATATTTATATACATAAATAAATCATGGTGATATATACATATACATACATACACACACACACACACACACATATATATATTTTATTATTATTATTATTATTTATTTATTTATTTATTTATTATTTTTTTAAGAGGTACAGGAAGCAGTGATAATACAGTCCCTGGAGGACAGGATCCAAACTGGAAGATGATGGAATAAAACTGGTGGCAGGGAGGTATCTGTGATGAGCATGAATCTCAGAACAGCACAGGAAGGCAGGGCAGCTGTTCTGGAAGCTGCACTGCAATGTGGGCAGGGCTGATGACCACATGGGACCTGGCTTATCCATGAGGTATGTTGATGCCATCCCTGCTTATGAGCTTATACTTTTATGACATTTATGTTTGCATTACTTGTTCCCATTCACCTCACCTTCCCGGTCTGTCCCATAACCCTGCATATTGGCTTATCTGTAATTACAATAGAATTTGGAAAGCTAAATATTTTTATATTAAAAATATGTGTGTGTATGCCCTGACCAGGCAGCTCAGTTGGCTGGAGTGACATACTGATACACCAAGGTTGGTCAGGGCACATATAAAAATCAACCAGTGAATGTATAAATAAATGGAACAAGTCAATGTTTCTCTCTCTCTCTCTCTCTCTCTAAAATATATATATATATTATATTATATTATATTATATTATATATATAATATATGTTTGTGTGTGTGTGTGTGTGTGTGTGTGTGTGTGTGTGTATTCATATACCTATGTAGGTATATAAACAAACAGAATGGGAAGGTGACGCGAGGGAAGCAGATTTAGGGTGAAAGCAGTATTTTTTAACACTCCTGACATTTCAGGCCAGATGACTATTGTAGGAGCTGTCCCATGCACTGTATAGTGTTAGACGCATCCTTGGCCTCTGCCTACCAGATGCCAGGAGCACCTCCTCCCTGTCATGACAACCAAACACGCATCCAGTTATTGCCAAGCATCCCCTGGGGGTAAAACTATCCCCTGTTGAGAACCACTAGGTTAAGGGTGTGTGTGGAAAAGGAATGAGAAAAGGAGGTAATTCAGATAAACCCTGACACTCTTCTCAGTGGGTGGCCCCAGTGGCATTCAATGCGGCTTCGCTAAACGTGAGCATAAGCTCAGTGATTTACAATCGCTGTTTTCAACATCCCATGTCGCCCTGAGCTGGCCACTAACAGACATGGAGGACAAGTTCCTTTTTGACAGCTGGAAGTGCTGTGTGGGAGAGAAGGGGTGTCGCCCGGCTTCCTCTGAGGCTTGACTTTTATCCTCTCAGTCCCACACTTCCCACTTAAAAATATGGTCCCTAAAATGAACATACATCTTCCCTACGGAAGCTGTGTTTCCGCTCAAATGTGTTTGAGGACTTAAACTACGTAATCAACACTGTCTTTATTCAAGAAGAGAATCCAATATGGTATCATTTATTAATATCAAGACTAAATTCAGTAATTTTGCTCCTTGGACATTTATCTCAGGATGGATTATGAATATCACTCAACACACAAATTAAACTTGTTTTCAAAATATTTACAAAAATAATACAACTCAATAACGAAAAAATAACTCTGGTTAAAAAGAATAATCAAAAACAGGAAAAGGACTTAAAATAGATATTTCTCCAAAAAAGATAGTACACGACTGCCAATAAGCAGAGAAAAAGATGCTCAAGTCACCATGAGTAGGGAAATGCAACCCAAAACTGCAACACGCTATCACCTCACACCCATTTGGATGGTTATTATAAAAACAAGCAGAAAATAGTGAATGTTGGCGAGAATGTGGAAAAACTGAAACCCTTGTGCGGTGCTGATGGGAGTGTAACACGGTACAGCTATTATGGAAAAGAATATGGCGATTCCTAGAAATATTAAAAATAGAACTGCCATATTATTCAGCCATTCCACTTCTGGATATATTCCCAGAAGAACTGAGAGCAAGGCCATGGGCATGTATTTGAACACCCAGGTTTGCAGCGGCATTATTCACAGTAGCTAAGAAGTGGCAGCAACCTAAATGTTGATAGATGACGAGCAGATAAACAAAATATGGTATATACATGTGATGGAATATTGTTTGGCTTTTAAAAAGGAAATTCTGATACATGCTACAACTTGAGTGAACCTTGGGGACATTGTGCTAAATAAAATAAGCCAGTCACAAGAAGACAAATACTGTATGACTTCATTTTTAGGAGATATCAACAATAGTCAAATTCCTAGAGAGAGAGTAGATTGATGGTTGCCGGGGCTGCAGGGAGGGAGGAATGGGGAGTTGTTTTTAAAATATATATATATTTTTTATTGATTTCATAGAGGAAGAGATAGAAACATCCATGTTGAGAGATAATATAATCATTGATTGGCTGCCTCCTGCACGCCCTCTACTGGGGATTGAGCCCCAACTTGGCATGTGCTCTGACCATGAAGGGAAATCCAACCATGACCTCCCGGTTGGGCTTGTTTTATTTTCTTTTGTTAACCCTCACCTGAGGCTATTTTTTCTATTGATTTCTTTCTAATTTCATTGTTTAAGGTATTACAAATAGTATTACATGATTCCTTTCCCCTTCCCCCCCACCTGCCCTCGTGCCCCCAACCCCAGTGTCTTGAGTCTGTTGGTTGTGCTTATATGCATGCATACAAGTCCTTCGGGTGATCTCTTATCCCCTCCCCCCAACTCCTCCCTACCTTATTCATGTTTGACAGTCTGTTTGGTGCTTCTTTGCCTCTATTTTTGTTCAACGGTTTGTAACATTCTTTATTATCCATAAATGAGTGAGATCATCTGGTATTTATCTTTCACTGATTGGCTTATTTCACTTAGCATTATGCACTTCAGATCCATCCATGTTGTTGCAAATGATAAGAACTCCTTTTTTATAGCAGCATAGTATTCCATTGTATAGATGTACCACAGTTTTTTAATCCATTCATCTGTTGATGGGCACTTAGGCTGTTTCCAAATCTTAACTATTGTAAATTGTGCTGCTAATAACATAGGGGTGCATATACCATTTCTGATTGGTGTTTCTGTTTTCTTGGGATATATTCCTAGAAGTGTTATTACTAGGTCAAATGGCAGTTCCATTTTTATTTTTTTTTTGAGGAAACACCATACTGTTTTCCACAGTGGCTGCACCAGTCTGCACCAACTTACACCATACACAAAAATAAACTCAAAATGGATAAAGGACTTAAACGTAAGATGGGAAACCATAAAAATCTTAGAAGAAGCTATAGGCAACAAAATAGATATTTGTTGTAGCAGTATCTTTACCAATACAACTTCTAGGGCAATGGAAACTAAAGAAAAAATAAACAAATGGGACTACATCAAAATAAAAAGCTTCTGTACAGCAAGAGAAACCATCAATAAAACAAGAAAGCCCACTGCATGGGAGAACATACTTGCCAATATTATCTCCGATAAGGGTTTAATCTCCAACATTTATAGGGAATTTATACAACTTAACAAAAAGAAGATAAACAATCTAATAAAAAAAAATGGGCGAAGAACCTAAATAGACACTTTTCGAAAGAGGACATTCAGAAAGTCAAGAGACATATGAAAACATGCTCAAAGTCACTAATCATCTGAGAGATCAAATCAAAACAACGAGGTACCATCTCACACCTGTCAGAATGGCTATCATCAACAAATGAGAAGTGCTGGCAGGGGTCTTCAAACTACGGCCCACGGGCCACATGCGGCCCGCAGAGGAGTCTGATCCGGCCCGCCAGGTTTTTTGGGCAGTGAGCGCAGCCGAAGTGTTACAGTAGGAATTAGTAGTTCATATAGTCCGGCCCTCCAGCTCTCTGAGGGACCGTGATCTGGCCCCCACTTTAAAAAGTTTGAGGATGCCTGCTGTAGAGGATGTGGAGAAAAAGGAATCCCACTGATTTTTAGAGAGAATGGAATGGAGGGACTAAGAGGGAGAAAGAAGAGAAACATCGATGTGAGAAAGACACATCCACTGGATGCCTTCCACATGTGCCCTGACTGGGACTGGGAATCGAATCTGCAACTCAGGTATGTGTCCTTGACCGAGAATTGAACCCATGACCCTCCAGTACCCACTGACATTCTAACCATTGAGCCATGCTTGCCAGGGCAGGGAGTTATTGTTTAACAGCCACATAGTTTCTATTACAAGATGAAAAAAGTTCCGGAGATGGAACAATGTGAGTGCACCTAATGCCACTGACTGTACAACTAAAAATGATGAAGATGTAAACTTATACATGTATTTTACCACAATTAACATTTTTAAAAATACAAGAAATGACAGGAAAGGATTAACTGAGTTTAGGCAATATTTATTCAATTTCCTTGAGATCATAGTATCTAAGGCATAAATGGTGGAGGCATTATTATTTGGCAAGGATACAACTCCTTTGAAGGCCTTGTCTGGCTGGATTTTAGTTCATGATACATCATATTGGTGTAAATCTGAGAGAACTTATTCTGGCACGGGCTCTAATCATGGGAAACGCGTCTCTCCTCACCATCCCTTCGTGAAACTCAGTCACTTTCCGTGGAGGGCGTGGCAGTTCTGCAGCTGCTCCCAAGTCACCTGGGGCGCTGGGCCTGGCCGAGGGAGGAAGGAAGGCGGGCATGGAGGTGCCGGGCCCTCAGGCCATGCTCTCGACGATGACTGCGATGCCCTGGCCACCTCCGATGCACGCCGACCCAACGCCGTATTTCTTCCCTCGGCGCCTGAGGAAGAGAGAGAGCAGTGGCTGAAGTCTACTCAGATGAAGAATTAACAGAGCTAATAAGATAATTAATTAAACAGAATTACTGATGGTTACATATGTATTATTCACTCGCATTCAGATCATAGTCTCAATATTTTCCTCACTCCTTAATATTAGTTTATAGTCACAACAGGAGAAAGAATTACAAAAATTGAATGTGGTTTTGTTTTTTTTTTAAATAGTGGTTGCAAGCTGGGGATGTGGGTCTCTCATCCGTAGCATGGGGTTTGTTAACATTGTCAAGAGTAAGGCCTACTTCTAGAGATCACAAGTGAAATTTAGAAGTCTATGAGAGGATGAAACTGGTTACTATGCCTGGGAACGCTGGTAATCCAGGACAAAAATAAGCCCAACACACCCAAAACAGGATGACGTGGGAAACCATGAAAATTTTAGAAGAAGCCATACAGAGGTATCCTTTGTCAGACTGCACATGTCTGCATAGGAGATATGACAGCCTGGGCAGCGTATGTTCACAAACTCCCAAAGTACAGTGTGTAGGCTGGCCTGACAAACTAGGCGGCAGTGTGTTGTGCTGACCTGCTGCCGGCCCACAGGCTCAATAACTTTCTCATGGACAAAACCATGAAGGCCAGGCGGAGGTGACTGGAGACGAATACAGTGTGGAAAGCACTGATGGTCAACCTGGTGCCTTCACCTGCTAACATCTGGATGCAGGGCTTGCTAGAACTACTCCTGGAAATAGGGAGCTGCGGATGCAGACCTGAGTACCTCTCACAGTGCCAAGAGCAGAGCCGCTAACAAGTCAATGGACTCATCTCTAAGGTCAGCTGAAAAGGGGTCCCACATAACTTGTTCCTGGCGAGAAGCAATGCAAGGGGGATCTGAGGAAGAATGAAAATGTTGGGGTGTTCTGGGGAAACCTAAATCCATGCCTGTCTACAAGAGGCAAATCTGAAATGCACCGATTTCTAGCGAATACCTTAATTCGTGAACCAGGTGTGCAGTAATTCTTGATCCAGATGCTCCCAATGGGTGACCCAAAGCAATGGCTCCTCCATTCATATTGGTTTTACTTGGGTCAAGACCTAAACTCCTCTCAACAGCCAAGTACTGGGAAGCAAAAGCTTCATTAACCTTCAAAATAATGGAAGAGAAGGGGAGAGACAGAGAGAAACATCAATGTGAGAGAGAGACCTTGATTGGTTGCCTCCAGCACGGGCCCCAACCAGGGCTGGAGATCGAGCCTGCAGCTGAGATACATTCCCTTGAAAATCGAACCCGGGACCCTGCTCTATCCACTGAGCCAAACTGGCTATGGCCACAAACTGCTTTTTAACTGAGAATTGTTTAGTACTCTTGATAGGTAATTTTTCTTTTTCTATTTAAATTATCTTGCAAGGTTGTTTAATTTTAGTTGTTCTTTGTAAAAATATCAGGTTTGAAAATGGTACTTTCAGTCAGTCAAATGCATCTCTTGGAAAAAGGAAGTCCTCAGTAATATTATAAGTGAAACCAGAGGTGATGGGACACTGTAGAGCCCATAGGTTCTGGAGCTAGACAGACTGTTTAAATCTTGGCTGTACGCATGTTCTTTGAACTCCCTTGACACTCAAATTTCCTCGGTAGTAAAATGTGACTGTAGTATCATCCTAAGGTTATTGTCAAGGTTAAGTTAAATCATAGGTATTAAGTGTCTAGTGTATTACTTGACACATGGCAAACACTATAAAATGCTTGCTATTATTATTGTTATTACCCATACTTCCAAGAAGAGACGGATAGATAATTAAGAATAAATCTTCAGAGCCAAATACGCTACGTCAAAATGTGGTAGAACAGAAAAGTGTCATATTGTATCACACTTTATGAGGCTGGCTATGAGAATGACTTTACTTCAAGTTTTTAAGCACTATATTTTCATATGATCTTAGCTAGGGAATTTTACAGATAAGAAAAGTGACTTTAAGAGAGGTAATGTATGGGGATAAGGGGGAGAGATCAACCAAGGGACTTGTATGCATGCATATAAGCATAACAATGGACACAAACACCAGGGGGGTGAGAGCATGAGCCAGGGCGGGGGGTGGGGGATGTGGAGCAGAGGGGGCAAAGCGATAAGGGTGCATATGTAATACCTTAATCAATAAAGAAAGGGGGGAAAAAGTCATGTGTCCAGAGTTGGGATCAAGATTGAATCTTGTGCTCTTTCCTACTATATTTTATTCTCTCTCAAGATGGTGCTCTATTTGTTCTTAGATTCAACATTACTTTTCCATTTTATACAGTCCTGCTCAAGGAGGCACTAAGAGTCCTAGAATATGTTGTGAAACTAGGCTATTGAACCTAAGATAAAACCACCACATAATCATCAAACGTTCCAAAGACAATCATAGCAGGGTGTTAAGAGCTATGTCCTTGAGTACTTATACGAGGCTCAGTGCACGAATTCATGTACAGGTCCCTCAGCCTGGCTGGTGATCGGGCTTATCGGGGCCTGTCTCACCCAGTCCTGACCAGGCTGATCAGGGGCCAGGAGTTTGGCTGGCAGTGGGAGGTTGGCTGTGGGATCACACTGACCACCAGGGGGCAGCTCCTGCATTGAGCACCTGCCCCCTGGTAGTTAGTGCATGTCATAGCGACTAGTCAACCGGCTATTGGTTGTTGGTTGATCAGTAGTAAAGGTCGCTTGCGCTTTTATATATTGATATAAATGACAATGAATAGCTTTGCAGAGCTGATATATTTCAATAGAGTTTTGGGTATGAAATCTAAAGTCAGAAATTTACTGGTACCTATCTGCTGATACAAATATGGTAAGTAAGCAGCCTGCAGGAGGCTCTGAACTGTTGATTATTGCCTTTTGGGTGAGAGATTACCACAGAGGAAATCACACAGAGGGAAAAGGCCCATTCGCTACCAATTTAAATAGAGAGACCTTCTTTGTTCTATTAATTATTTACCAACAACAAGCAGAGAGACATACTTAATTATCTAAAATTTTCAAATATACCCCAAACGTAGAATGTACATAATCCATATTTAAGTATTTTCTTCTTTTAATTGTGCTAAATACTCAAGATGTCTTTGTTCTAAATTAACAATTTAACATTAAATAGATCAATAAATGAATAAGTTTACAGAAGTTTTAAAGTTTTTCTAAAAACTGTGATAGGCACATCCCAAAGCAAGCCACAACTAAAAGTCATGATAAATTTGGGGGAGGGGAGGATGTCTTAACTTGGGGGGAAGATAAGAAACTTCTAGATTTGGCACCAGATATTGTTTTACTTTTAGGTCAATTCTCTATTTGTATTTTTTCACTTTAATCCATAAAATGGGGTTAAAGTTACTTATTTCTCCTTCACTTTACATAAAGATCACTTCGATTCAGCAAGCACATAACAGTCTAAAATGTAATGAAGTCATAAGGTCCTAATATTTTTCCAGGAATGTAATTATTCAAATATAAATGAAACATTTTAATCAGCTAAGGAAAAGTACCAACATAAGCCATGTAATGAAAGTAACACTTATTTAGATGTACATCATTTGGAAAGGCTAACAGTACTAATACAGAAAGAGCTATAACATACCAAACTGAAGCCATTTATGCTCTAGAAGTTGGTGGGTTAGTCATGCTGAAAAAAGTAGAATTCTTACCTCTACCATATCCATGTCCTTAAGACTCAACCCTGTTCTCTTCAGTGCCCCAGTGATAGCAGAGACAGGACCTATATCAGCACAAAATCAATTTCATCTTATATTTATTTATACATCAAATTAGTCCATCTTTACTAAACAGGTAAATAACGTGACAGCTGGTAGTAGCCGTAAATCTTGCTACCTTGAAAGCACTTTATTAAATGAGGTAACGATAAAGAAACAAAAAGTGAGACCTGCATTCATTGCAGTATTATTTACAATAGCCAAGATCTGGAAGCAGCCCTGGCCAGCATGCTCAGTGGTTAGAGCTTCAGCCTACGCACCAAAGGGTCAAGGGTTCAATTCCCAGTCAAGAGCATGGTCTTGGTTTTCCTACTGAGACTAACACCGTTTTTCATAAAGATTGGTTGTTTAAAAGACTGATTATTAATCTCTTTTCCATAAGTGACCTTGATTTGGCTACTGTTTCTGGAATAAGAATGACAAAGAAGACTTAGCTCCAGAAATAGAGCAAACTTACCAATACCCATGATGGAGGGGTCACAGCCAGACACAAAGTAGCCCACAACTCGTGCCAGTGGTGTGAAGTTATGTTTTTTAACAGCATCCTCACTAGCTATGATAACAACTCCAGCACCATCAGACACCCCCTTGAAAACAAAAACAGAAGATTAACCAGAGGGTACAGAATCCAGTTAATCAATGTGAAGCAGTCCTATGAGGGTTGTGGCGTGACACAGGAAGCAGTGCCATCATTTGTAATAGTGGTGGATTAAAGCTATTGTTTTAGGCACAGAACACAAATAGAAAGAATGCCAAGGATAAGCCTATAGCCAGATGCAGGTAGATAAAAGGAGAAATCTGATGAATTGTGTATGGAAAAAAATATATATATGAAAACTAAAAATAAACCAGGTAGATTTCCTTTTAATATTCTGAAAAGACTATGAAATGGAAACTATATCAGGGAACTTATGGAAAATATTTTGAACTACAAAAACCCAAATTAATAGAATAGGAACTTAATTAGTTTAAGCTATATAACTAAAGACTAGCATGAAAAGTATCTGAAAGATACTGCATGATTACTTTGCATCAGAAATTGGGAAGATTTCAAGAACATCTGTGATGAGACCTACCGATGCGTTCCCTGCAGTAACGGTTCCATCCTTCTTGAACACGGGCGGGAGTTTATTTAACTGCTCCAGGGTTGTTTGGGGCCGGGCATGCTCATCGACCTGCATGGTCTGTTTCCCTTTCCTGGTCTTCACCTCAATTGGCACCATCTCAGTATTAAAGTAGCCAGCATCATTCGCTGGAAGAGTTGAAGGAATATAAGAATGGAGGAAAAGGAAAGAAACTAAGTCGAACATATCCTTCAGTTTAATTTCTGGTCTCCCCTTTCCTCACAGCCTTCTTTCATATGAGCCTTTATTTCTTATATAACTTTCCTTGCCTATTGGAGGATTTAATATACTATCATGTTTCTATGCAGATGCATTCTGCACCTTTTAAAATTTTAATTTTGATTTATTTTTTTAACTACTTTTTTTCTTTGTAAGGTGCTGCTAAGTCTTAGCAGTATTTGTTAGCTACACATGTAATGAGACCACATGAACTGAATGCCCTGTAAAAATATTCTCTGGGTGAGATAAGAAGTAATTAAAGAGTTACCACATTGTACAATAATGTATTAAAAGTTTAAAAGGGCAGATTTCATGTTAAGTGTTCTTAGCACAATGAGAAAATAAGTTACCAAGTTGCCTATGTCACCGAGTAATCTATGCCTGAAATTTAATGACAAGCATCCTGAAGAAGTTCTAAGTAAAACTGACTAGAGTGGACTATAGCAATCCAAAGCCTCAGGAATCTTATTTCTGATAACACTTTACAACAGGCTAAGCATTTCCCTTCGTTGGTTTTCATACCAACTCTATCAGGGAAATAAGCAAAGCAACTATTTTTTTATCGCCATCATTAGAAATAGGTACTTATTTCTATTTTACAGATGCTCAGTGAATAAATGACTTGACTGAGGTCAGATAACATGTATTTGGCCAAACTAGAAACAGAACAACCCTTGACCTCTAGACCAATAATCTTCCATTTTACATGTGTAACGAGGATGACTCGAGGACCTCAGCTCCACCCCATTACCCCTCTAAAATGCCAAGATGGACTTTATCCTTCCTATTCCAAGTAAATATTTAATGCCCTAAATAAGAGTTTCCATTTGCTTATAAGAGTTTAATTTTAAAAATCTCAGAAGACTAACAGATTTCTTCAACTCCCCACACTGAGAGAAGAACGGCCTGTTGCTGTGCGAACTGGTGAGAGAGCGGTGTGCAGTGTTACCTGGGGCACCAGAGCCAGGGCCTTGGACTCAGTCTAAGGCTCCCAGGCAGGTGTGATGATTCTCAATTAGCATAAAAGGATACCCAATGGGTCTTTCCCAAACACATCATCCCCTCCTTGTGACTATGACATGGCTGATGGCGGAGGGCGTCCTCTGTCCCAGGAGCCCAGTGAACCATTAACTAACAGTGTATCATAGCTCTCCGAGCGTTCTACTGGCAACAGTACCAGTATGGGCAGGGCCAACGAACAGTACCACTTTTTAAGTAGTATGAATGTATTTCCAAGGAGTTAATTTTACAATCATTAACCAAGTATCTAAATCATTTGAAAACAAAGGAATGATAAAAACATAACTTTCAAAAGATATAATTTTAAACTAATATTATTAAATGAACATTATCTGAAATAATAAAAATCCTTCCTAGTTTTTTTTTTTTTTTTTAATATATTTTATTGATTTTTTTACAGAGAGGAAGGGAAAGAGATAGAGAGCCAGAAACATCGATGAGAGAGAAACATCGACCAGCCGCCTCCTGCACACCCCCCACCGGGGATGTGCCTGCAACCAATGTACATGCCCTTGACCGGAATCGAACCTGGGACCTTTCAGTCCACAGACCGACGCTCTACCACTGAGCCAAACCGGTTTCGACCCTTCCTAGTTTTTAAAAATTGAGGAATAATTGACATAAAACATTATACTAGTTTCAAGTATATATCGATAACATAATAATTCGATATTTGTATATATAGCAAAATGATCTTCACCATAAGTCTAGTTAATATCTGTCACCAGGAAGAAGTTACAAATTCTTGTGATGAGAACTTTTAAGATCTCTCTTAACTATCAAATATGCAACATAGTATTATTAAGTACAGTCATCATGCAGTACATTATATACCCAGAACTTAGTTATTTTATAACTGAAAGTTTGTATTTTTTGACTCCCTTTTCATCCATCTCACTAACCCTCCTCCCTCTCCTTCCCCTCTCCTCCCCCCCAGTTTCCTTTCTGTAAATATTTAGAATACCCTATTTTACTGACCAGCTTTCCACCTCTGCTGGGACTGCAGGGCGTATTTGTCACAGTCTTCTCTGCTTATATTATGTTTTGAAGCAAGATTCTCTGCGGTGATTCCCATGGGGAGTTTAACATGCTGATCGGTTAATCCTGCCCACAAAGTGTCTTCCAGCTATTAAAATACATTAATAATGAAGTGATTTGTTAAAGCATGTCTTTCACAGTAATATGCTGTAATTTCTTTAAATTTAAGCAATTAAGAGTTCCAATAAATAAAAGTAAAATTAGATTTTCTGATAGCATTACTGTTACTAAATTATTCGTATTTGACTCCGAGGATTTTAAAAAACATTCAATGGCATAATAAAATGACACATTCTCCTCTCTACATGTGGGGCTCTGAAGAGAGCCAGCAATGCTACATGTGCAGGGTGAGAACACAGGAAGTTATTCCACAATCAAAACCCCTCAAGGTTACATTCCGTAGGAAACCTAACACTGAGTCCTTATGCACGCCCCCAACTGGGGATCGAGCCCATGACCTGGGCATGTGTTCTGATCAGGAATCAAACCGTGACCTTCTGGTTCACAGGTTGACTTTGAACCACTGAGCCACACTGCCCAGGCTCTGATCTATTTTTCCAAAGGTGTTCTTAAATTCATTTGGTGTCTAAAACTATCTCATCTTTTCTATGTCTTATTTTCAACTTTCAAAGAGGCCAGGTGAGAAATTGATGAACAGTGTACATCAACTGTTATAACAGAAAAAAATGCTAAAAATGTAAAATGCCATTAGCCCTTTCATATAGGAAAGATAGCATATTATCCGTCCTTTATCACTCCTATCATTCTCGTGTTGTGCCTTCTCATTCAAAGAGAATGTTTTCTGTGATGAAGAAGAAATCTATTCGATGGAGATTGCTCCAGAAAAAAAAAACTCCCATGAATTCTGGCAAAGATTTAATTACTTGGTTTGCTAATGATTCAGCAGACATTAATTCAACCTTTGCCTATCTTTTTGACCTGCTTCCTCCCTTCTTCCATTTCCCCCAATGTTCATTCCACTACCAGAGGTGTGCTAAGATAAAGCCTACTTTTATGTGGATTAAAATGTTAAAACTAGCTCAGCTTCGTGGCTCAGTGGTTGTGTTGACCTGTGAACTAGGAGGTCACAATTCAATTCTCTGAGAGGGCGTATGCCCAGGTTGCGGGCTCAAACCCCAGTGAGCGGTGTGCAGGAAGCAACCCATCAATAATTCTCTCTCATCATTGATGTTTCTATCTCTCTCTCCCTCTCCCTTCCACTCTGAAATCAATTAAAAAAGTTTTTTTTAAATGTGTCAAAACTAACAACCAAATAAACTTTTGAAATAGTTAACAAAATTCATATAATTTATGTCTTGCCAATCCCCTATTAATAAAACTGGTTTCAAAATTAATTTTCTCTCTCACCAAATGGTGTTATTAAATTATTAGCATTACAGTCTGAGAAATAATTTTTAATTTTAACCTTGAGATCTGCTCCCAACTTGGTTCCAAAACGTATGTTTCTGGCACAGTAGGGAGCTTGGCTCATGCTCTCGGTTCCTCCACACAAAACAACTTCAGCAGCTTTATCACAAATTTCCTATTTAAAAACAAAGAAAACCCTTTTATTATGACATGAATGCACATTAAAAAGTATGTGCTAAGCAAACTAATATTAAGTCTAATAAGTAACTATGATAGCTTTCAGTGTTTCAAAAGGAAATACTTTCAAAGTAGTTTTAAAGCAAATGCTGAAGTATCCATTCCCAAAGTATTATACATGGGTTGGAAGGGGAGAAGGACAGTCTTCAATAGTTTGTGCACAGGTAACAAATCCTGCCCACTTTCTGGTGAGGAATGGTAATTCCTAACTCAATACAAATCTTTAAAATCAGCAGAGATATTGTCTGGTTTAACTGTACAGATTGCCAGCAGATAGTAAAGAATAAATCCTTTAAAAATGCAAAAGCAAGATTTATCCTATTTATTATGGATGAATCTGGAGACCACAGATTTACAGGAACCAAGTTAAACTAGGAGTCTCATACAAAGGGCCCATTGCATTCTTTCAACTCTTTCCACGATTTGCAATTCTCAGGAAAGAAGCAAATCACAGGCCTCCAAGAGCCTGATGTTTGAAATGATTGCTAGGAAAATCAGGACCACTAATATACATTGTTAGAGAACCTTATTCATGACAAAATCGTGTTTTTAATTTTATTTTGTAATAAAATGAAGAGAAGTAAAATTGGATTTCACTGTATGCCTTTTCCCTGTGCTTAAAGGGAACAAGTCTATTTGCCCAATCATCCCTTATACTGACCTCCCTTGATAAGCATCTATCTAATAACAGGATAATATGCAAACTGGTTGGGACACTGTCACATAACGACTGATCAGCAGGCTGCGTCCCTGCCCCCTGCTCAGGCAGCTTGCAAGGCCTGAGGTAAGTAGAATAGTGTATGATAGGAGGTGATAGGAAAGGAGGGAGAGAAAGGCAGGCCTGCAAGCAGACAGGCCGAGAGGAGAAACAGAAATACAGAAGGGGAGCAAGAAAAAGCAGGAATGAATGGAAAAGGGAAGGAAATGTGAGGCTGCAAGCGGGAGGGGGTGGCTACCAAGGGAGGGTAGAGCAAGTGTGCCTGGTGAGGTGCAGGGCGCAGCGGGTGGCCCAGATGCGGGAGGAGGGTGGTAGCCCCCGGCGCAAACTGAGCCATTGGCAGGGAGGCACCCTTAAGCCCCAGGGCAGAGGGGTGGATGGTCTGAGGTAGGGGTGTCGAACTCAATCAGAGAAGGGGCCAAAATCTAAAATCCAGCCTAAATCTCGGGCCGAATGGTTTACTGAACAGTCATAAACTGTCATTGTGATGGAAACGCAGCAGAGTGCGGTGATGACAGCGCGGTGCGGGCCACATTGCAAGGCCTGGCGGGACGGATTTGGCCCTCGGGCCTTGTGTTTAACACATGTGGTCTGAGGCCTTCTGGGCGGAGGCATGCCTGCTGGGCCGGGCGCCCCATGCTGGGAGGGGAGGTACAGCTTAGCTGGGGCAAGTCCGACACTAAGGAAGATACCGCTTTCATCCCCAAGGGCTGGACCCCAAAGACACTGTCCAGGGTTAGGTTGCTGGTGTGTTAAGTGTATTTTGTTGACTAGAAGCTGGGGCGTCCCAGGCAGGAAATGGGAGGAGGATGGCGGTGGGGAGCTGGGGAAAAAAGGATAGTGAAGGCCTGGCTAGACTGGGGGCTAACAGCCCCCAAACGAAAGCTTTAATATCATAGTGTGCTCAGGAAGGACTGGAAGCAGGTCCCAAAGAGGAAAGGGGAAGGTTTAAAAGAGAAACCAGTGAACATGGCAGGGGGGAGGAGGGAAGCGCAGGAGGGTAATAACAGGGAAGGAGGCAAGGTTCAGGCTCACAAGGGAAAGGTGAATGGGGAGGAGGGTGAGAGGAGCAAGAAGGAGACAGACACAGGGAATGAAGGGAGAGAAGGGAGGAGGGAGGGAGGATGAGGGGCTGCGGGAGGTTCAAAGGGAGGGAGGGAAAGAAAGCAGGAAAGAGAAGGATGCTAAAATGGGGGGAGGCCAGAAAATAGTTAAATAAAAAGAAGAAACAGAATGTGAGAGTGAGAGGAATTTAAGAGGAGGAGCTAGTAAGAAAATTAAGTACAGGGAGATTTTTTTAAAAATGTAGTCAGACATCCCCTGAGGGCTCCCAGTTTATGAAAGGGCACAGACTTGGCTGAGGGTCCCCCCCCCAAATGCACAAATTTTATGCACTGGGCCTCTAGTGCTATATAATAAAAGGCTAATATGCAAATTGTCTCCTTCATTGGGAGTTCAACCAGGGGCCAGGGTTAGCCACCCAACCACCCACAGCCCCTCCCCTTGGCCGGACAGGCTCAATGGGCCCCAATCGGGGTGGGCCAACTGAATCCCACCCATGCACAAATTCGTGCACTGGGCCTCTAGTTATAAAAACCTAGTGTTATATTAAACAGGGCATTTTCTCTAATAATTTTTTAACATATTTCAGAGAATTAAATATAATATTGGCCATACCTGACATCCACTCATAACGGACTGGAAACCGGAGCCACAGAGCCTATTCAGAGTGAGAGCTGGGGTCTCTATTGGGACGCCCACCCGCAAGCCAACATGCCTTGCCAAGTACGCAGCATCCACAGAACTCTGGAACACAGGGAGAAGAAAAAGCACTTCCTCTATAAATCTAGAAATTGAGGACAAAGTATTTTTCAAAGTATATGGAAATGTTGGCAACCTGTCAAAAATTATAAGCTACATGGCTCTAAGGTAGGACACAACACATACAGCTCTAGTATATTTCATATAATACACGTGTTTATGATTTAAATAAAAACAAAGCACAAGAATAATGATGCTGGCAATTCAGATATGGATTCCTTTAAGTAAAAAAGTGAAAGTTCTTGATTTAATAAGGAAAGAAAAAAATTGCATGTTGAAGTTGCTAAGACCAAATCTATGCATGAAACTGCCTAACTCATAAATTAAACTTTACCATAGGTATGCATGTGTAAGAAAAAGACATAGTGTATGTATTCAGGGTTTGGTACTGTCTGTGGTTCCAGGTATCCACTGAGGGTTTTGGACCGTATACCCTGGGAATAACATGGAGTAATTGTTCTTTATTTTTATTGAATTCATTGGGATAATGTTAATAAAATTATATAGAGCTTAGGTGTACAATTCTCTGATATATCATCTGTACGTTGTATTCACCATCCCAAGTCATGTCTCTTTCATGTTTCTACTCTCCCCTACCTCCTCCCACCTACCCTTTCCCTGTTAATCAACATACTGTTGTCTGTTTATGAAGTTTTTGTTTGTTTTTTACTTAATCCTTCACCTTTTACACCCAGTCCCCCCACCTCCTCCCCTCTAACAGCTGTCTGTTTTTTATGTTGATGAGTCTGTTTCTATTTCGTTTGACAGCTTATTAGTGACACCGAGGCTGAGACCTGGTGACTTAAGGAGGGGAGAGATGAACAACTTGTTAGGAGAGTAAGAGGTGCTTCCCAAACTTAAAAATGCATCTGGGAAATTTTGTTAAAATGTAGTTTCTCAACCCATAGGTCTAGGACTACATGGAATTCTGCATTTCTAAACATTTCCCCAATGACACAATGTGCTGGTCCAAGGGCCATACTTTGAGTAAGAAGGAAAAGAAATAATTTTAAAAACACACAACAATAACATCAGCAGTTACTGTGGAGAAAGCTAAAGCAAATTTGATAAAATGTGAAGAATTGGCCCATCCAGCCCTAACCGGTTTGGCTTAGTGGATAGAGCTTCAGCCTGTGGACTGCAGGGTCCCCGGTTCAATTCTGGTTAAGGGCACATACCTTGGTTGCAGGCTCCCTTCCTGACCTGAGCCCTAATCAGGGCTCGTGCAGGAGGCAACCTATCAATGTGTCTCTCTCACATTGATGTTTCTCTCTGTCTTTCCCTCTCTTTCTCTCTCTCTAAAAACTAATGGAAAAATATCTGGAGGATTAAAAAAAAAAAAAAAAAAATGGCCATCCAGGTAAAAAGGCTATGTGGTACTTACTCACTGTCCTATTTTTAATTTATTTTTTAATTCTTACTTGTGGATAGTTTTATTGATTTGAGAGAGAGAGGAAGGGCAAAGGAGAGAGAGAGAGAGAAACACTGATCCGTTGCCTTCCATACTCGCTCTGACTGGGGACCAAACCCTCAACCTGGGTGTGTGCCCTGACCAGGAATTGAACCCACAACCCTTTGGTGCACGGGATGATGCTCTAACCAACTAAGCCACATGGGGTTGGGCTGTCCTATTTTTTCTTTTTTTTAACTTTTTTGCTTGGGTTTGCTATACTCCTTAAGTGGGAAGGAGAGAGAACCCATTATCTTCAAATAAGTCAAGGAAATTAATATATTTAGAAGCAATATATCAAAACATTTTGTTCTATGCCTAAAACTAATACGATGTTACTAGTCAATTATATCTCAATACATCTGGAAACACACACACCCAAAAACCAAGAAGCGATGAAATGTATCCCAAATTAGGTAGATATATAGTTCCCAGAAGATATGCTCCTTTGAGTCATGCATGTCGTTGCTTCTGGAGTCAAAGGATTTCTCAATTTGTAAATACCTTCAACTTTGGACTGATTCGCCATCATGACATGTTCAAGGAATTATTTTTAGAAACTGATGAAGCAACAGGAATGAGGACCATTCTCTGGCCGACTAACCTGCATGACATTGCCCACAATGACACTGTCAATAGTCTCAGGTGGCACTTTGCCTGCCGCCAAGGCAGCCCTGGCAGCAAATTCAGTCAAGTCGGTAGCTGTGAAGTCTTTCAGAAGGCCTCCGTAAGCCCCAAAGGGCGTTCGCTTAGCAGCCACGATGAACACACCTATGGCAACAAGAGAGATTTGTAAGCAATCGCGGGTTAGCCAGTGTCCTTTAGCATGCTTTAAATACCCTCACTGCAAAATAGTATTGCAAAGTTAAGTTTCAATTAGATAACTGAAAACCTTTGCGTACACGGGGTCTTCCCCAAACTATCTGAGCACTCGTTTCCACATCTTGTCAAGAAACCATAGACTGCCCCGGCAGGTGGCTCATATGGTTGGAGTGTCCTTCTATGCACCAAAAGTCGTAGGTTTGATTCCCAGTCAGGGCCCATACCAAGTTTCAGGTTCGATCCCCAGCTGGGGTGAGTACAAGAGGCAACCAATTGATGTTTTTCTCTCACATTGATGTTTCTCTTTCTCTTCTTTCCTCTCTAAAAAAATCACTAAAAACATGTCCTTAGGTTAAGATTAAAAAAAAAACAACCACATGGAACTTTTAATGATAGATATTGACCTATAGTTGAGACCATTCAAACACTGTACTACTACTGGTATTTAAGTACTTTATAGTCCCCGTTTTATGCTAATGATTTCTTTCCATGGGACAAACTAAACCTACACTAAAACAAAAAACACTTCAGCTTCTCCTTTCATTCCAGTTGAGAAATTTACAGTCTAAAAGAGGAAAAACATATAACTTAGAAGAGATCCATTTCTTTACATATATAATATTCAGATATTTATAAAAGGCTGCAAATATTAGTTTGGTGTGTTGTAGAGACAGTAAAACATACAGTGGCTACCAGAGGTTAGGAGGGGGCAAGGAGAGATGAGTAGGTGAAGTACAAATGAAACTACTCTTTATTTACTTATTTTTTTAAAATATATTTTTATTGATTTCAGAGAGGAAGGGAGAGGGAGAAATAGAAACATCAGTGATGAGAGATAATAATTGATCAGCTGCCTCATGCATACCCCACACTGGAGATTAAGCCCACAACTGGGCATGTGCCCTGACTGGGATCGAGCCATGGCCTCCTGGTTCATAGGTGGATGTTCAACCACCGAGCCACACTAATATGATACTGTAATGGTAGATACATGTCATTATATACATTTGTCAAAACCCAAGAATTGCATAACACAAAAAGTGAACCTTATTGTAAACTATGGTCTTCAGTTCTTAATAGTGTCAGTATTTGCTCATCAACTGTAACAAATGTACCACATTAATGGTTAGGTGAATGATTCTGGTTCTTCAAGTGACTGAGGCAGATCCTATTATCTGAAGGATACATTCTTGCAGAGATAAGTGGGCTCATTAAGTTGTTTATTGCTTTGGAGAATACAACTCTTACTAAGCCCTCGCCACTTGGCAACAAGCCACCTGTGTTAGCCCAGAGCTTTCACTATAAATCTCCTGTGTTAGCTCCTGGCTTTGGCTTCCAGCCACCTGTGTAAGCTCGAGCCGCTGGGCTATATATAACAAGCCCCGTTTCTTTCCTGGGTCTAAAGATCTACCATTTCACTACTAAGACGTGGCTTGTCGATAAGTTACCCTAAACTCAATGTAATTTTGGTGAGGTCTTTTGACCTTGGGAAGTTTTCCCAAAAACTAATGCACGATGTTAATAATAGGAGATACTGGGATGGGAAGAGGGAGGTATATGACCACTGATTTATCAGAAATAATGAAGGCTAATTCATGTGTCTTCATAAGTTTTCCTTTCATGAGTTTCTCCCTGTAATTCATACCTAAGAGAGCATTTTTGTCTGGGGAAGTTCTACTAATGGTGAAGTATGAGACACTAACAGAAGAGTGTATGTGGAAAATAAGAACAAAAGCAAGAACTTCCCCTTTAGTTAATTATACCACTTCTGTTTACTTTTGCTTCCAGACTGCAACGGTTATCCTGAGTAAGGCTAACATTGAAATACAATTGTTTTGAATGGGAAAATGGTATCCTGTATAATAAAAGCCTAATATGCTAAGTGTCCGGTCAAACCAATCAAAGTGTCAAGCCGAGATTGGTTTGGCTCAGTGGATAGAGCGTCCCAGGTTCGATTCCGGTCAAGGGCATGTACCTTGGTTGTGGGCACATCCCCAGTAGGGGGTGTGCAAGAGGCAGCTGGTCGATGATTCTCTCTCATCGATGTTTCTAACTCTCTATCCCTATCTCTTCCTCTCCGTAAAAAATTAATAAAATATATATAAAACACACACACACGCACTCACACACACAAAAACACACAAAGTGTCTGGTTAAACCAATCAAAGCATACATAGCTAATGATATGCTAAGGTTGCTCAGCTACCCACTATAATGTGCACTGACCACCAGGGGCAGATGCTCCAACTGGTAGGTGAGCTTGCTGCTGGGGTCCAGCCAATTGGGACAGCGAGATGGGCCAGGAGCCCTCCCTCAGTACCTCCCTGGCTGGCCAACTTCCCACATCCCTCCCCAGCCCTGATTGTGCATTGGTGGGGGTCCCTCAGCCTGGCCTGAGCCCTCTCGAAATCTGGCACCCCCTCGGGAGATGTCAGAGAGCCAGTTTCAGCCCGATGGCAGAACAACCAATCGCTTTGACACACACTGACCACTGGGGGCAGACACTCAATGCAGAAGCTGCCCCTGGTGGTCAGTGTGCTTCCACGGGGGGAGTGCTGCTCAGCCAGAAGCGGGGCTCATGGTTGGCAAGTCTTTCCCATCTCTGTGGCAGCGTTAAGGATATCTGGCTGACAACTTAGGCCTGCTCCTGACAGGCCTAAGCCGCCAGTGAGACATCCCCTGAGGGCTGATGGACTGAGAGAGGGCACAGGCCGGGCTAAGGGACCTCCACCCCCCAAGTGCATGAATTTCATGCACTGGGCCTGTAGTTAAATATATTTTTAAAATAATTTGGGATGTGTAGGTATAAAGACTAGACAATTTAAAGTATTTTTAAACTGGGCAGCATGTCAATAATTATTTGATCTGACGCCAATTTTATATAGCTGTTAAAAGGTCTAAAATGTGCCGAAACCGGTTTGGCTCAGTGGATAGAGCATCGGCCTGCAGACTGAAGGGTCCTGGGTTCAATTCTGGTCAAGGGCATGTACCTTGGTTGCGGGCACATCCTCAGTAGGGGGTGTGCAAGAGGCAACTGATTGATGATTCTCTCTCATCAATGTTTCTGACTCTCTATCCCTCTCTCTTCCTCTCTGTGAAAAATCAATAAAATATATATATATTTTTTTAAAAAAAGGTCTAAAATGTAACAGTCTTTAACACCAAGCTACAATCTTGTTTATATTTAAAGGCGCTGAAAATTCAGAAGCTAGCTATTTCCCAAAACTGAAAGACAGTGAAAAGACATTAATCTAGAGATCAGAGAGTCAGAAACAAGGTGGTCGAAGTGACTGGAGAGAAAAAAACGTGACAAGAGAAACAGGAATTCTGCTGCTTTAAAAAAAAAAAAAAATTTTTTTTTTTTTTTATCACATTGTTAGATAAACATTGACTTGTCATTAAGCAACTGCAGACAGCAACTAAGACAAATGGAGAAAAACTGTTACTTACTGCATCCATTTCAGTTTCAGGATTAAAGTCATTTGGCAGCACTGCCTGAATGCCTTGCTACACAAATAACCCAACAAAGTTACTGAGCAGGAATGGATTCTTATTGACAGAAACCTGATAAATGAATGATAATCTTTACCAACGCCTATCATGCTCACACTCAACTGTGTCCTTTTCCCTACAATAATCAGTCACATGGTCTCTCTTATCCACTAGTCCTCCAAGCACCCCGAGAGAAGTGCACATCTATGATGTATTCTAACTAGCCAATAGCAATTGATACGTGAACCTTAACACATTAAGCGCCCAGCTTGTTTTGTCTTCCAGATGGAAAGTATAGAGTCAGACACTGGTGACTGACATGGCGGTTAACGTGTTAAGGCTTGGGTTGTGGACACAGCCACTAATTATCTGTCATTTTAGACAAGCTTTTTTACCTTTCTGGAATCAATGTCTTCATCTGTAAAACAGGGAAATGGGTGAAACTATGATCACTAGCTCTAATACTGTAGTACTCGATCACAAACTTAACACATTTTATATACTTCCTTAATACAGGTGTTGATGTATTTCATTTCCCCTAATGGGTTCACAATTTTCATCAAACTTCAGAAGAGTCTGTATTATACAAAAAGGATAAGAAACCACATATACAATGCTAAACACAAATCATAAAAAGATTTTCTTTTTGAAATGATGCTCATTATGATGCAGTTTTTAAGTGAATTGGTTTTTTTTTAAACACCTTAAAAAAAACCAACATGTGCTGTTTTATTAATTAAATGTAGTAAATTCAGAACTGGGAAGAGCACTGGCAAGTGAAACCCAATGGAAGGAAATAGAATGACACTACGTGTTGCCTTGGGATACCGATTTTTCATGAACTGTTCACAAGCCATTTCCACTCTTCTGAGCTCCAAATCCCCTTATCCAACTGCCTATCCCACATCTCCACTCGAGTGCCAAGTTTCCACTTTCCAAATCAATTCTCCAGCTTTCCTCACTGGGTAAATGCCACCATCATCAGCACAAGACTTCAAACTGGAAACCTAAAGTCACTGCTGTCATGTCCTTCTCATTGACCGGCCATCTATCACCAAGTTCTATCTAATCCATCTCCAAGTCTAACAAGTCATCCCTCCCTCCCCCACCCCCCCCAACTCCTTTGCCCTCCAGCTAGGGTCCAAACCATCATTTGTTGTAGCCTGGACCTCTGGCTAAGATTCTTTTCTTAGTATTATTGTTGTAGTTTTGTTAATCCTCACTTGAGGGTATTTTTCTCATTTTTTAAAGAGTGGAGAGAGAAGAGAAACTTCCATATGAGAGACAGGCAGAGCCACCCGCACCTGCCCCTATCAGTGCCCAAGTAAGTGCCCTAAACCAGGAATTGAACCCGAGACCCTTCCGTGCCCAGGCCGACTCTCTAACCACCAAGATACACCGACCAGAGCTCCAATAGATTCTTAAATGTTCTTAAATTCTTCTGGTTGCTACACAGACAGTTTTATAACCCTGACAACATCTGGGCAGAGTGGAAATCAGGTCCTGTCATCCTCCTACTTGAAAGGTTTTCTCTTGCTGTCTACTAAATTCAGAATAAAACCCCACACCTCCAGGCCTCACAGAGCCTACAGGGCTCTGACCACAAAAATGTGGGTTCTTAGGTCCTGCCCAGCGTTTTCCTGTGGCCTGGATATAAAATGTTCTTTAAAGCACAAACGTCCAAATCCTTAACACTAAAATCCCATCGGTTGTGAGTATTGGTTGGAAAAGAGAACGGACATCACATTTTTAAGAAGCTTATAACCCTAGAATGCATGTATTTAGTGACTGCACTTTCTCGGAGACACTCAAGGGAAGGTTCTCCAACAGAATGCCAGCAAGCATTTTGGGGGAGCAGGTCCCTCGGGCAGAAATTCCCCGGCGACTCTGGGAGAACTCCCCGCAGGCCCTCATCCCCTCCCCCCCACCCCCCCAATCGCAGGCAACCTCGCTCCTCTGTGCAGTGCCCCCGCGTCCCACGGTGCCTCAGGTGTGTGGCGCCGCGGGTTCCCAACAGCTGAACTTGAACTTGGTGGGTCACCACTGCACGAGGGAGGGCACGGCCTCCAAGGTCAGGGGCCCGTGAACCGTGGTCTCCACGCTCCCACGCCGATTGCACGGGAGTCTCAGTCGCTCCAGGAGGCTTACAAAAGCGTTTTCTCTGGAACCCGAACCATCCTTTTGGGGGGGGGGGGGGGCAGGGCACACGCTGCTGTTTCTTTAAGTCCCCTTTATTGGTGTGGAGACGAAAGCTGTAAACCCAGGACCCCCGACTCCCCGCCGAGAACGGACGCGAACCCTGGCCTGAGGAGGGCAAGCCCGCCAGCGGGCGAGGAGAGCGGGGCGCAGCTCACCTCGGAGAAGGGCCATGGCGACGGCGGGAGAGCGACAGCGCAGGGTTTCTCCTCCGGCGACGCGAAGGGGCCGCAGTCAGCACCCAGACCTTAAGGGCGGGGGCGGGGCCCGCTAGGCCACGCCCACCTAGGGCACGCCCCCGCCCTTTCCCCTACTTCTGAGCCCACAGCGCCCCTACCCTCTGGCCTGACGCTACGCTCCGGGCGCCATCCTCTGAGGGGCCAATCACCTTGGGGAGGCGGGCCTTGCGAGTGTTTTTTTTTGTTTTTGTTGTTGTTGTTGTTGTTGTTTGCCTCAAATCACTGGCTTTCAAGACTGTACCTGCGCCAAAACCGGTTTGGCTCAATGGCTAGAGCGTCGGCTTGGGGACTGAAGGGTCCCGGGTTCGATTCCGGTCAAGGGCATGTACCAGGGGGTGTGCAAGAGGCAGCTGATCTATGACTCTCTCTCGTGGATGTTTCTAACTCTATCCCTTCCTCTCTGTACAAAATATATTTAAAAAAAAAAAAAAAAAGACTGTACCTGTTTCCAACTCATGGTTTGATTGCCCTGTCCAGCCATCCAACCCTGTCCATCCAATCCTGGCCTCTATCCGTCTCCCCCGACCGCGCCCCGCCCCCGTAGGTAACTAAGCTTCCCTTTCCGTCAACGAATTTCCTTAAACCTCGAGTCGGACGTCCGGCCCCGAGTGGCACGGGTTTGCGGGAAGTGGGGGTCCAGGTGGGCGGGACCGGACGTTGTGTGGGCGGGTCCTGGAGGACGGCACGGGGATTGGTCGAGTCGGTCGCGCCGGGGGGCGGGCTTTTGCGTAGAGCTTGGGCTGCTGCGGAGGCGGTTAGGCGGTCGGCGGGTGGCTCGGTGGGAGTGGGGGCAAGGGTATAGGGGGGGTATTGTTGGGGCGCTGCAGTGAGGGTATTAGGTCAGGGGGGGCCCCGGGTCCCCAATGCAGCCCCCCGATGAGCCTGCAGTATTTTCCTTATATGATTGGGCCCCATGGCTGGCGGCGACGCTAGCCCGGAGCCTAAGAGGATTATAATGGGTCAGGCGAAGTGGGGCCGGGGAACCGGGGCCTGGGGCGGAGAGAGGAGCTGTGGGTTCGGCTGGAGATGAGGAAGGTTGAGGGAGGCCTCTTCCGCTGTGGCTGTTAGCCCGGGTCGATGATGAGGAGACCACTGCGCAATCTGAGTTCTGGGAACCAGATGATGGAGTGCGTTGGGACTGAGACCGGGCGAGCAGGCGGCGAGCCGAGCCGAGATGCGGTAGATCCGCAACTTCGGGGCAGGAGGCGGGCCAGGCTCCTCTGGGCTCGGTGGGTGTGGATGGCCAGGGTTGGCAGGAGGCCTGGAGGTGTTCTGGGAGCTGGCAGGGAGTGCCCGCTCCAGTACCCTGCTTTGTTTACATCGTCTTGGTGGCCCTCTCACGTTGTTTTCTGACTTCATTTTTTTTTTATTGTAAAAACTTTAAAAATATATATATATATTATTGATTTTTTACAGAGAGGAAGGGAGAGGGATAGAGAGTTAGAAATATTAATGAGAGAGAAACAACAGTCAGCTGCCTCCTGCACACCCCTCACCGGGGATGTGACCGCAACCAAGACACATGACTTTGACTGGAATCCTTGACGGGGGCGGGGGGACGACACGGACACCCTTGAGTTCAAAGGCGAATGTTCTATCCACTGAGCCAAGCCAGCCAGGGCTAATTGTAAAAATTTTTGAACATACAGAAGATCCACCATCTATAGTCTATAGTTGGTAACATTTTACCATACTTGCTGTATCACATCTGTCCATCTGTTCCCCCCCCCCCGCCCCTTTTTTTTTTTAATGCAGAACTTAGTACAATTCACCCCACGTATCAGAGGTCAATATTTACAGTTCTTTTTAAGTCAGAATTCTCATGCAATCAAATGTACAAATCTTAAATTGGATGAATTTCAAAAATGTATACACTCTTCTAACCCAAACCACTCTGGGCAATCAAAATATAATTAGGACATGTCCATCATCCAGAAAAGTGCTCAGCCATTGTTCCCTTTTTCTCACCATCCGTTGTAATTTGACCCTCTGCTTTACTCCTTTTTCCTTTCTGTAGCTTTAAGTGAACCCTGAACTTTGGCAGGCAACTCAGTACACATTTTAAAAAATATTAATGCTCCTTTTTCATAGTCCATGGAATTTGTACTTGGAGTTGATCAAAGCTTAACACACACTTGATGGTGGGCTTTGTTTTTTTTCCCCTTGAATCTCCTGGATGATGAGCAGGGAATAATAATAAAAATGAAAGCTGCCATTTTATACACTGTGTGCCTAGCAATTGTACCAGGCGCTTACATACACTATGTATAATTTGCATACCCAGGTAGTATAATAATTACTCTATAAAATAGAATGACATACAGTTCTTCCACATCAGAGAAATCTGAATTGAGATGCATTCTGCAGCCCCATGAGACAGGGGGTTTTCCTTTCTCATTTTATAAGTCAAGAAGCATAGGCCCAGAGAAACCAAAGAACTTCTGAAGATTCAAATCTAGAAAATTGCTGAATTAGAATTTTGAGCCCTCAATTCTCAAAAGCCCAAAGCTCATGTTGTGTCCAGGGCTTCCAGGATGTGGAATATAGGAGTAGGGTAGAAAAAGACAACTATCATTAGCTAGAAGTTATAGAAAACAGGAAATGAGGGAGAAATAAAGTATTTGGAAAGAAAGCTGGCTAAGGATAACTTTCTATGCTTGTCAATGTATGGTGGTTTAGTTTCAACTTCACTATCTTTTGTTTCTAAATAATGGGGTTAAGTCAATTTTATCTTTTAAATGTAACTTACACATGTGTAATAGAAATATTTCTTATTATGAATGACAGTGAATGCTCACTTACTAGGAAAAAAGTAGATAAAAGCATCTTTACCTGCTGGTGCTATTGAGAAATGTTAATTAGAATTAGATGAAGAGAAGTAAGATGCTTGGATAATGATGCCATTTGAGAAGTGATTTTTGTGATCCATTAAAACAACTTATCCATGAGTGAACTTACATTAAGTTTCATGTTCAAGGCAAAGCACTGGGAATGGTTTTTAAAACCATCTCCATTGTACTTTAGCTAATTCTTAATAGGTAACAAGAATACAAATAATTGACCAGGAGATCAAAACAGCTCATATGAAAGATTGGCATTGTGGTGAGTTTCTAAATGTTAAATACAGTATGCACTGCAAAAATGAGTCAAATGTATTTTACCTATTGAAAAAGGCTAAACAGCTAAACAGTACTTCCCCCAAATCTGAATAGAATTGTCTGCTGCCAGATAGCTCAGGGCATTTTATTGCCTCCTGTTGGCCAAACACCTGAACAGCTGTACACTATTCCTCAAACTGACAATGTTTCTGTAACCCTTCCCTTTGAAGTGTATTATCTCCATCTTGCCTTAGGACAAATTGTGTTGAATAAAAGCAGGGTCCTGAGTCAAGAAGAAGGAATCTTTAGCTCCTTCAGCTGACGATACTCTGAACCCCCAATGCCTTTCAAAATTATCTTTAGTCTCCGAACTCTTTAACCATCTATGCGCAGTCCCTTTCTCCGGAATGCTGAACCCTTGGTAAGGCTGGGAAAAGAACCCCGGCATAGCTCGCTCTCTCAGTCTTGAAAATATGGGCTGTGTAGGAGTGACCTCTGTGTAAACTGTGTACCACGTGGTCTTGGCAGGGCAGTTTGAGCCAGGTGAGCACTCCAGGCTGGAGTGGCCAGTTGTGTGTTGCGACACCATGTTGGCTCTGCTTTATCCTTTTGGGCTCCAGGCCAATGTGGGCTCCAGGCAGTTTGGCTAGGAAAGCATTGCTGCAAACTTGCAGGTAGGCCACAGCATGGGAATAGAGCCACACCCATCCTACATTAGTGTTTACTGGCACCTCCAATCCTGGAGAGTCCCCCCAGATTTCAAAGAGCTCTCATGATTTCCTCATCTTCTCCATTCACTGTTTGTTGTGCAGAAGCTGCTCAATGAGCCTTTAGTTGTCTCAGGAGGAAATGCTATATGTACATAGTGGTATATTTTAGTGTGCTTGTAAGGGGGCGAGTCCAGGGTCCTTCTGCGCTGCTACCATCTTGAACTTCCTCACATGTTGCTCTATCTCTCCTGTTTCACTGGTTAAAATTGAGGTGTATGCTCCTGCCATAGCCGCATACATAGTTTTCCTGCTGAGGTCTTTTTTAAATTTAATTTTTTCAGTTTCAGCAGACCTACAATATTATATTGGTTTCAGATATATAACCCAATGACTAGACATTAACTTATGAAGTGATCACCCCAATAAATCTAGTACCCATCTGACACCATACATAGTCATTATTGACTATATTAGTATTTCCTATGTTGAACTTGATCTCCCGAGACTGTTCTGTAACTAGCAATTTGATACTTCTTAATCTCTTCACCTTCTTAACCCATCCTCCCAAGTCCTTTGTTTTGGCATCCGTCAACATGGTCTCTGTATCTGTGTTTCTGGTCTGCTTGTTTTATTTTGATAAGATTTCACAAGTGAAATCAGATGTGATTTCTCTGTTTGACCTATTTCACTCAGCACAGTGCCCTTTAGGTACATCCATGTGGTTGCCAATGGAAAGATTTCATTATTTGTTTTTCACTTATCTATATATACAAAAAGCTAATATGCAAAGTGTCTCCTCAGGAGTTGAACCGAGAGACTGGGAGTTTGACTGGGAGTCAGGGAGTTCAATCACTCGCTATGATGTGCGCTGACAACCAATGGGCAGTGCCGAATGAAGACCCCCTCTGGTAGCCGGGGAAGGGAGGCCCCAGCAAGCAGCTGGAAGGCCCCGATTGGCCCTGATAACCGGCCAGGCCCAGGGACTCTACCCATGCATGAATTCCATGCACTGGGCCTCAGAATTTTATAAACTCTTTAATACAGAACTTGTAAATATTTTCCCAGATTTTTTTAATGCCATCTTTACCAGAAGCAAAGTTATACATATGACTGAGTCTGTTCTTACACCAAAACTGCTTTGTTTGAATTCTTTACCTTTAAAGTAATTTCTCAATAAGTCTTGTTATTCTACGGGGAATGTGTCCCCCACCCCAACTTTTGTAGGCTGTATTCGCTAACCTCTGGTTTAAACAATCATGACTCGTGTTTGAATATAGGCTCCAGAATGATATTTCTCAAGAAAGCATTAAAAAATAATCTTTTCAGCCAATATGTAGCTACAGGGTTTTAAATTTCATTTAGACCTATCACAGCACTTTATTTATTCAAAAGTATTTCCACAAATTTTTATCCATAGCTGAATTTTACAGTGACTAGTACAAGCATTTTTCTATAAACAAAGGTATAATTTACAGATTTGTTCAAAATGAAAAAATATTTTTTATTAGTGTTTCTTCTACAATGTCAGATTCACCCCTGAATATGTGCACCCTGTCAGAGAGGCAATCCTTCATCTAAACATCAGTTGTTGGCAAAGTGTTATATCCAAATCTGGATTATTCTGATATGTATCACCTTAGAAAGTATCTTAAAGTCATTTTTGATTGACCCCTTTACCTGAATTAGATTTTTTTTTTTTTTTTTTTTTTTTTTAGGAAAAACTGTCTTTATACCTAATGACCTTTATAATAAGAGAAAGAAAAAAGTCTTGTGTTTTATTGTCATTGGCATAAACCACTATTTTTCTGGTTACCCCCTAATTCTCTAATTATGGCACCAATCTGTATAAAAAGTAAATTTTGAATATTTGGCTCATGCAGCAAATTAATTTGAGAAACAGACTTCAGAGAAATATTCTATGAGGAAAAACTACAGGGTCCTGCCCCATGCTGCCACACTTTAATATCTGTTTAGCCATACAGACATTATACAAGGGTTCAATTTAGGACAACCTTGCTGCCTTAGAATTGGGTCAACCATATGAAAATGCATAAATTTACTATATGCCAAAGAAATGGATTCTAATTTATTTGTTACTATATCTTAACACATTATTTAATGTTCTAAATATTTGATGAATTGATGGTAGCAGTGTTATTTTTCTAAATTTTCCAAGTTCCTACTTTTGTCTTCTCTCTCTCTCTCTCTCTCTCTCTCTCTCTCTCTCTCTCTCTCTTATTTTTTTTACAAAAGCCTTAAAATTTAGTATAGGAAAATCAAGAGAAGACACTCCTGTTGACATGCTCCATGAAAAGAGGGAAAAAGTCCCTTTGAGTCTAATCTGCTCGCCAGGTACCATATGTAGATGCACAGATATGATAGACAGGGAGAATGCATGTCAGTAATATGCTTGCCAGATAATCTATAATATCTATAATAATAAAAGCATAATATGCTAATTAGACCGGATGGCCAAACAGCAGAATGACTGTCCCTATGACCTTCCGACCCTCCGGATGAAGCCGGGCTGCAAGGGCCGAACCCCTTGCATGAATTTCATGCATCATGGCCTCTAGTATGTACATAACACAAATTGCTATAGGTAACCACATAGGCCAATATAATACTTAAAGCACAACTTGTTTAATCTATAAATATTTGATTCTTAAGTAATCTATAAAATGCTTCTAATGTTTTAAAAGACAAAACTTCACCATGATGTTATGCCAGACATTAAAGTTCTTCCCACAGCAACACTTACTTCAGAGAACTAAGTGATAAGTCAATTATCTTCATAACTGCTAAAGGCACAGAGTAAGAAAAGTGTCAAACAAATTATAAATATTAAAAAATAAAGACACATATCTAGTACAGAGTTCAAACCTTTATGTTCAATTAAGTTACTTAAATTAAAAATACTGATTTCCTGAAGTTGGAAAAAGTTTGAGTTGAGCTGACTTTAAAAAATGCAAAAAAAAAAAAAAAATGCTAACAAAAGATTACAGTTTCTCTAAAGATGCTTATTCCAATCTCTAAGTGTTAAGTTAAATAGGGAAGATCTAAACATTTAAGTAACCAACTACTATATTATTTTGTTAGTGGCCTATAAAAGGCTATTTGTTTCTAAGTATATATAAATTTTGTTCCAGTGAAACATCTTTATCTTTTGGAAGAAGAGAACTAAATCTGCTATTTTTTTTTTTAATATTTTTTATTGATTTTTTACAGAGAGGAAGGGAGAGAAATAGAAAGCCAGAAACGTCGATGAGAGAGAAACATCGACCAGCTGCCTCTTGCACACCCCCTACTGGGGATGTGCCCGCAACCAATGTACATGCCCTTGACCGGAATCGAACCCGGGACCCTTCAGTCCGCAGACCAACGCTCCACCACTGAGCCAAACCGGTTTCGGCTAAATCTGCTATTTCTTAGCCTAAATGGAGGGCTGTTCATATGTTTTTCCATTTATTCTAATTGCCAAGCTTTTATTCAGTGAGTTGTTGGCACCTGGCAGAGAGGTAGTGACCCAAAGAGATGGAAAGAATGAGGGTGTAAGTCAGGATGTAAGGGCAGTAAGCTGCTGCATTTATGGAATCACTGCTTTCAAACTCCTTGACACTCTGACAAAGCATTTTTGGTTATCTTGAAGAGTAAGGACAGTCCTTATATGAGAGACTCAGTTTTAAACAACATTGCAGTAAAAAGTAAATTATCCTATATAATAAAAGGCTAATATGCAAATTGACAGAACAGCAGAACTACCGGTCATTATGACACACACTGGCCATCAGGGGGCAGATGCACAATGCAGGAGCTGCCCCCTGGTGGTCAGTTTGCTCCACAGGGGAAGTGCCACTTAGCCAGAACCCCTGGGCAGGACTCACTGTCAAGTGCAGCAGCAGTGGCAGGAGCCTCTTCCGCCTCTGTGGCAGCACTAAAGATATCCAACTGTGGGGAGTGGGCCTAAGCCATCAGTTGGACATCCCCTGAGGGCTCCTGAACTGGGAGAGGGTGCAGGTTGGGCTGAGGGACCCCCCTGAGTGCACAGATTTTGTGCACCGGGCCTCTAATACTTAATAACCATCTTTAAAAAGAGGGCACCATAGACCCAATTGGTTTTAGACTGGCCTTCCTAACACAGGCAGTGTGTAGGTCAAAGGGCGTGTGTCATGGATGTCAGATGATGTCACTGTAATTGGGAAAGAAGCTCAGCTCTGCATAAATACCCAAGAGCAGCCAGGATGTTGAATGTGGTGGTAGAGGAGGTAATGCCAGTGACAGATTTGGGCATGGTGGTCGGCAGCCTTTGCCCAGGTGCTATGCCTTATTCTGTCCAGTGGGCAGGGAGAATGACCGAGGAAGCTAAGCTGTAAGAGCACAGTACATAGGTTGATTGGTTAGGGCTTGGTGGGTGTTGTGTTTCCAAGAGCCTTTCAAGCTTAGTGGCTGCATTAAAGGTGTGTGTGTGTGTGTGTGTGTGTGTGTGTGTGTGTGTGTGTGTGTTCTATGTATATTTCATGGAGAAATCTTATCTTGACTTAATATAGAGGCTTTATGATTTGTAAACAACATCTGTTCTTATCATGAAAACAGCATACTGTTATTGACTAGAAGTATGGAAAAAAAATAGTAAAAAAACGGGTGTAAAGAATATGTAGGGTTTTCTAATTGAATGCCTGATTTTGAAGAGATGACAAATTTGAAAACAGCAAACATATAAAATCTGTTGTAATATCATCAAATTACCCTTTTAATATTTATTTCATAGCAGCGATATTTATGATTTTTATGTGGCAAATTTGAAACTAACACGAGAAGAGAAAGCTGACTTAAGTTATTCTTTCTTTAAAACGAACACTTACAAAAAATACCCCCAAGATCTTTTGTATAACTTAATCTTTAAACTGATTTTTAGAAAGGTTTTTCAAACAATCTGATCCTCAAGATAGGTTGCTTTCCTGTATTATTTGGGTTATCTGGAATCACCATTGGAGGCTTCATGGCGAAAGGGATTCAAGACTTTCATATTGACAGGTTTGGCTCTTTATCTGTGAATAAGAGTTGCTACTCTTTTTTTTAAAATATATTTTATTGATTTTGTACAGAGAGGAAGGGAGAGAGATAGAAAGCTAGAAACATCGATGAGAGAGAGTCATCGATCAGCTGCCTTTTGCACACCCCCTACTAGGGATATGCCCGCAACCAAGGTACATGCCCTTGACCGGAATCGAACCCGGGACCTTTCAGTCCCCAAGCAGATGCTCTATCCATTGAGCCAAACCGGTTTCGACAAGTTGCTACTCTTTTCTAACTTTTAGCTTACACAGATTTTCGTTGACTCAGTGAGTACATGGACTAGCATTGGAAACGTCTTTTCCCCTTGCTCACAGCCTTGGTTGGGACAGCAGCCTTTTTAGCATAACTCCAATAGACCCAGGACTGCACAAAAGCGTTTAAGCACATGAGGAACTGCCCCATCTAACTTTGCTTCAGAAACCAATACTCAAAAAGTCTGGTCTGAAGGTCAGTTACACCATTGCCTCTGCACCACCGGGCATTAAAAGAATATCTTTGGGAAACTTCTCAGAAGGCCCAGGCCTGTATTCCTGTTCTCAAAACATTTCCCCACAAGCTCATCCACACCAATGGCTGGTCACCCTGGGGAGATGTCCCACTACATGACAGTGTCAAGGGCCTCTGAAGGCAATGTATGCAACTCGCATATTTTTAATATTTTATTTTGGACATTCTCCAGTTATATGCAAAGATCAAAAGAAGGCAGTTTACATTTTGTAGGTTGGCACCTTTTTTATGGCCATTGGGGACTGCTTTGCTTGGTGGTATAGAGTCTAATGTGTACTTGTTTATACTGGAATCGTACTTCAAAAAATCATCCATAATTTAAGTGTTTTTATTCTGAGCAGCAGGTACAAAAAATAATGAGATGTGTTCTTCGGTCTAGTTCAGCACTCTGCACGTCCTCTCCGTGTCTGATTTGATCCACTTTTAAAGACTGAACATATCCTTAAATCAAGCCAAAGTTGGAAATGTGCACCTTCAGACTTCATTGAGAAACTCCAGATTGAGACACGCCGGGATGTGGATGGAGTCCATAGTCAGAGCAGAGGGGTTGAAGGGGAACACAACAGGAAACATGTGCTTGTAGTCTAACAGCAGCTGCTGAGGGTCATTTCGATCTTGTAGCTGTGCCTGAGGAGAAGGACAAGACCATGTAAAATACTTTTGACACATACAAATATTTCTCTCCATCAGTCAGATGAATCAGCAGGCTCTGCTATGAAGGGGCTTGAAGAAATTGAAAAGGTGTTAGAGGACGGTATAAAAATGGGACAAAAAAGGTTAACATATTATTACAATTCAGCAACAAAAGGTGTGTATACATTTAATTATTTAAAATTCACAAAGTACGTGTAGTCATTTCACAGGAACCCTCTTGTGAATCCTTTGAGTTTAACAACCCCCTCAAGTTAACATTTGCAAAGGTTGACATAGCCTGCCCATACTGCACTAGCAAATGGTTTGCTTTAATGACAACTCGTGTTTATCCTACCTAAGATATGCACAAACATAGAAGGATGGTGTGGGTTACTCCACCATTTCCTCTGAGTACTGTCTAGGGAGCAATAAACCATAAAACTATAGCTGGAAAAACAAATAAATTTTTAAATCCTCACCAGAGGATATGTTCTTATTGATGAGAGAGAGAGAGAGAGAGAAAGAGAGAGAGAGAGAGAGAGAGAGAGAGAGAGAGAGAGAGAGAGAGAGAGAGAGAGGGACAGACATCAGTTGCCTCCTGTACGCACCCTGACTGGGGACTGAACCTGCAACCTTTTAGAGGACAGGATAAAGCTCAAACCAACTGAGCCACCTGGTGAGGGCACAGAATTTGTTCTTGATAGAATTGCCAAATACCAAAACTGACTGCCGGGGCAGACTCAGAATCTGATTGCATGTATCTTCAGAGAATATCCGACCAACCCCCAGTTTACCTTTCTCCTCTGTCCTTCATTCAAACCCAAAGTCTGACTTGGCATATAATCTTTCACCTTTGGTCTGAATTCTGTTCTTGTAAACAGTGCTCTTGTAAATTTATAAACAGTTGCTTTAAAACCAATTAAGACTTTCTAAACTTGTACTTTGGTTTGTGTAAAGTGTAAAAATCAGTAGTGGGTCAGATATTTCTGTGGCTGCTTCTCTGTCACCCAACTCCTCCTCCCCCTTCAGCAGTGGACTGCACATCTGTCCTAATAACTGGACTTGCCCTCAGTGCTCCCTGCCTGCTGGGATGGCCACGTTGTCGCGTCTCTGTCTGCTTCTCTCCGTGGCCTGGATCTTTACTAACCTACTGCCTTTACCCCACTGCACTTCAGAGAACAACCTTTGATCTGTTTGGCCTCCCTCCCCTGACCTTCAGCCTCTATCCTCTATTTATACACCGTGCTAAAATTAATCCATTCGTCTTCCCTGTTCCTGCTCTGATCACTTTCCCCCATTTCTCTTTATCCTTGTTTCGTGTTGCCATGAATTCATTAGCTGAAGAGGTGTTTCCCACACACAGAGGAGGAGCGTTCACTGTTTAATCTTGATATGATTCATCATTTGGATGCTGTCAGCTATAGTCACAGTACAGCTTAGGCACTCAGCCAAAATCACCCAGGGATCAGCTCTAGGAGGCTTATCTTTAAGAAATCCCTTCATTTAAAGATGGATTTTAATAATAATTTCCCTGATGTTCTCTTTGGAGCATATTCCTAAGGGCAAATATTATAAGTCTTACAGGAAAAACTTAAGAGCTCAAGTTGTCCTCTTAAAAGAACATTTCTAGTTCCTTTCATGAGTAGGGTTAATATTCTTTCTCTTACTTTGTTAATGTCACTTGACACTATAGTTCAGTAACATGCTGTTGGTGAATGAA